CAGTGTATTTGCGCACAGACGCCTGCCGATCGAAAGTACGCCTGAAGTTAACTGAGTGCAGTTTTTGGCGCTAATGTGTGGAATTAATTCAAACAACTTACCTGATGTCATGGAGAAGGGTGCGATCGCTGTTTTGGGAACGAGATGTTGGACCATTTTTGCCACATAAGCCAAAAAGTGTTTTACGTTTCCGCTAACAGAGGCCCGTCCCCCTGCCTGCATATATCTTAATGTCCTCATTCCTCAGGTCTTTTAAAATAAAGCTGGTTCAGCACACAATTACACTTCATAATGCCACAAGACCAATATCGTCCTGACGGTTCGTGACAACAATTAATTACCGCTATAATATTACTGCCCATGTTTAAGTAACGTTTCCTAATTGTTTCCGATTCGCATACTGACATTCACTTTGACCCTGCATATAAAGTATGGATATTGCTCTTGGATAGGAAGAGTAACTTAGTTAAACAACTCATCTTCAGGACTCGGTATGTTTTCGGGAAGGATTTGCTGAGCCAGACTATAAGGAATCAGAAGTTAATCTACGGCTACATATGAAAGAGTACGCGAAACAGAGGCCCATTTCCCCTATTGAAACCTAGTTAAGACCTAGAGCTTAGTGGGAATAGGGGAAAAACTCAACGACTTTCATACTTGTTCAAGTCCATCCTTCGGAGGTAAAGTGGATTTATTCCTCCCGACTTTGATTTTGTGGAGCACCCAACGATGGAGACTGTGATTTTTTCGACGAATCTATTGCTCGCATGGAACTGTTGACGCTGTATGAATCAAAATCGTCTTGGTCAGAGGACATTCCAACCAATTTGTTGAAGTAACACGCAGGATAACTGTCCAAACCGCCGTCCATGCTCTTCAAAGCCTTGTTCGAAACAGCCTATTTACCACCGACTGGAAATCTGCACAGATTATACCCCTGTATAACGGCAAAAGCGAGGTCTCCGCAAACAACTGCAGACTAAACAGTCTCACTACAAAAGTGCGGAGAATATAAATAAGCAAGAGCGAATGCGCTCCCTAGAGCAGCATAATCTCCTAAGGACGCTCAGTATGGATTGCGAAAAGGCAGATAATGCGTGAATACAACAGCTCTATTGTTTAGAACGCTGGACCCGTCAGTTGATGGAAGGAGTGTAGTGGGTGGGTGGGACAACCAATCACCGTCCAGTGTTTCTTGACCAATCAATGTATTTGCGCACAGACGCCTGCCGATCGAAAGTACGCCTAAAGTTAACTCAGTGCAGTGGTATGTGCGCGTTCTCCATAAAATATGATGGATTGTACAAGTACATCCAGAATCAATTGAACAATATCGTGCTACTTAAATGGTCGTTTTCCACTGAGAGTAGTTTATGCAGACGGTCAAAAAGGGGTTCATTCAAAAACCGTCATCCTAATGTGGCTGGAATATCTTAGGATTTTGCGGCATGATTGTTATGACAACACTACTTATGTAGGTAATCCTTTCGAATCGTAAACTTATTTGAGAATTTCGACTAACATTTCACGAGAAAACACATCTGCGGCAAGTCTGTTAGGTGGCGACGGATCTATGCCGCCAGTTTGGCAGCTGTTTGCGACTGGTGTTTCTCCGAGCTGAGCACGAAAAACACTCAGTACACAGCCGCGATGATTCACGTTTCTGGGAGTAAGGGCGAGGGCCGCGTCATTTAATTTGTTCACATAAATTGCAAAACTTAGGCACGCGACCCGGCTCTTGGAATGGGCTACATCGTAACTAATTGCAAAC